CGATATCGGCTAATTGGCTCGTAACCTTGTACGTGAGAATGCTGATAAGCAGTGGTAAATATACCATCAAAGCTGAGTTGGGGTGAAATACTACCAAGGTAGTGTACTCATCCGGACACGCGCGCACATGCGAGGCTCCTTCGCTGCTCTTGAGGAAGGGAGTGGCTTATTTTTTGGCTTCGCTGATGGTTCCTTTCCGTTTCTTCTTCGTTGAACTAACAATCACATTTTTGCTGGCAGCTCCAAACGCCAGGCATCCCAACTCGATTCCGACCCTTGCTTCTAAACGCATGAATCACGGAGCAGCTTTGATCCTTTGAAAGTCGGGAGAAGGCGAATTAACCGTACTTCAGCCGTTCAACACTTTTATCAACCTCACCAACCTATCAACTCTGCAGTTAAAATCATCCAAGTTGTACTGATGAAACGAGTCGAAGTGGCCACTTTCTTGCTAAAGTAAAATTTCCTACCGTCTTCTAATTGATCGGTCTCTTATCTACCGTTACTCGCTTGGAAGCACTTGGTACGTTGGCCATCGCTTAAATGAGGAGTTCACGATTAGAACGCAACCTATTAGAATAAAGGTCGAGGTGGTCAGTGTTGCGCGATGAAGAAAACATAATGAGCCCGCCCAGAACCCGAGAAGTGGGACTATTTTTTACCGTCAATCGCATTAATGCGACACCTATCGCTGCTGCCCTTTTTAGCGCTAACGCTCTTCTTCTCTGCTGAACAGCTGGAAACCTGCAGGGAGCGGTTAGCCAGTCGGTGGGCGTGCCGCGTCAACAGCGTCGCGGTACGGCCATGCTGTGTGGCCAGCAGGGGCATGTCCTTCACGTGAGGGTCTGATACGACTCCACACTAGAACCGTCAGGAGTCGCGGGTAGCGGGAAACCCTGTACCCCTCCCCGCTGCGACTACCCTTACCATCACTGCTGTTCCTGTCAAATTTGAAGAGGGGAAATATGTTTCAGTAAACAGCAAATCTCCTACAATTTTTGTCTATTTCACCCCACAATCAAGATTTCAGCAAACTCGATGGAAAATCTGTTAAAAACAAACTCCTCTCCCACGATCACGACCCCTTCAACTTCTACAAATATCCTTTTTCAACTTTTGGACACCACCAACCACGAATACAACCCCTTCGAAAAAACTAAAATATGACTCTCATGGTTGGGAACTGCGGACGATTGACCCTGCTTGTGATGGCTTCTGATGCATTCGAATGCATCTTTGGCTGACTTATTCCGTATACGTAAACACAGCACAAAAAATTATATTGAAATTTTAATGGTTACATTGGGAACATCGTAATAAATAATCGAAGTACAGGGACATATGATAAATAAAATGCAACCATTTCGTGACGAGACGAGACGAACAGACAATGATGATGATAATGAATATGGATGCATCGACCCGAAATAGATTATAAAGCATAGATCTTCTATATGAAGTGAATCGATTGCAACTATCACAAATTGAAACAAGAATTTCTTGCTAACATACATATAAAGTTATCAACACTCACAAAAAAAAACTATAACTGAATCACTTTGCCACCGTCTAAAACACGGTACATGAAACGTTGAAGATATCAATCAGCTATCATTCTATAATTGAAGTAGTAAAGAAGACGAATGAATAAGGAGAAGTACGTTACAATACTTGCGTGCCCTCCACTCTCATGAGGTTTCGTCGACTTTGCGTAGCTGACCAGGATGCACAAGGACATGTTGAACTTCCTCTCAAACAATTGTGGCAGTTTTCGGAGCCGAAGATTGATTCGACTGATTTTTGTAGTAATCCAGAAGCGCTTCCATATGATGCATCAGAATGCGCCGGCAATTTCCCAACAGATGCTGACCCCGGCACGTTACGGCCAATTTGCTGACCCCGTGACATGTAAGGAGCATGAGGTGGACGATTCACAGCAGGTTGATAGCGCGAAGGTCCGATGACGAAAATGGTTTCCTAAACAGACAGAACATTGAACTTTAAAAGCAATCCTCGTGAGAACTTATGCCATTGAAATAACGCAGATACGCCGAATTATGCGAGGCCCCAAAATCAAAATTAACGCAATAAGTCAACATACATCCAAGAAAACCACATTGTTAACTTCAATATTTGACGAGCTTAGGAGAATGAGGCCCGCACGGACGAGTTAATGATGGCCGGCGTTTAGGTGACCGTCGCATAACATATGTTTTGTATTATGTACTACTGGATATCACTAGTTGTCATAAATAGCATCGAAATTTCAGCTCGCCACCCCAAATAAGCTCTGATTTTCGGTTCAAAAAGTTAAAGAAAAGTTAGCATCAAATTAACAAACCTATCAAAATTCCCATTGGTTGGATTACAAACAGGGAACGTCGTAATTCGATGAGCAGCCGGTGAATGCCCACGAGAAGGAGATATCGAATAGGGCTGCGATTCACGATGCGACGAATTGATGCCTCCATTTGCCGATGGTGGCGAAGGTCTGAAAGAACTCATTTATCCTCACAACTCGATGATTTGGCATCAAACAAGGAATAATAATCTACCTCTGCACTACAACCCTTCGATCAAGGCTGGCTGTCGAAAATCCTGCCTGACAGGAGAAACTAGTCGGAAGACGTCGTAACGGTTCGGGATGCTCAATTGTTGGAGTTATGTCGTCATCCTCAGGGATATTTGTCTAAAATGACCTTATCGTATCCAAATTGTTTTTTTTGTTTTGTTTTTTCTGTGCAACACCAACCCGTGGCGCTTAAACAGCACTTAATAAACAAAACATGCAAAAATTACGAGTTTTGTCACAGGCATGAATTTTGAATTTTTTTGTTGCTACCGACAAAACAAACAATTAACCATACGAAATTAAAAATTTTCCTGCCCGAAAAAATAACATAAAATGAAGCCGCCTGGCAACTTCTGCTTTGCTCACCTTCGCTTCCTGCTTGAACTGAAACGTTGCATTCTCCAGGCGAATATTGTAACATGCGCTATTCGGGACGTCGGTTTGTGAAATGGAATGTGCCGATAATGCCCTTTTACGCAGATGTTGTTCATCCTGGAAAAAAAATCATGCCTAATTGTCATTTCAGAGCAGCTCTGCTAATTCGTAGCCGTAAAAATCTCCCTACTTGAAGAGTTGGATAGTGTGCTTGCCGATAACTGCTACGGTACGAAGTCGATCGATAACCAATGTTTTCGTATCTAAAAATGGCAAAGTTGAGCCAAATGTGAATAGGCACCGCTATTCGGAGAGAAAACATTTTGAATCAAAGGAGCCTTGACATTTCTATGAAACCTTTCAAACCTTCAAAGATATTCAACATGGCAACCGCTCAACTTTAACACGTTGACGACAGCATGACGCGCATGCGCGTCAGAATTTCACCCGATTCTGGCCAGTTTTTTCGGTTTATTTGGCATTTTTCATATTTCAAAACTGTGTGCATGCATATCTTATCCGAAAAACTGTGCATCAATTACCAGTAGTGGAATTATTGAAGAAGTTATGACGATTGTGAAAAAAAATAAACAAAAAGGTGCCGAGGTACACGCACAAGGGGCTGTCGTCAACGTGTTAA